GATCTCCACGACCTATCAGGTCCTGGGACAAGCGGCTGTCTTGCAACATTCAGAGTGTAGGAAATCAGCCACTCAGCTCAGCCACCACTTAGATGTCGCTTTGCATTTTCTTAGTGAATGCAAAGCATTCATTAATTGGATGAGGTAGAGAGCGCAGGGGTGGACTGACAACTCATGGGGCCCCCGGGCAATAGGGGATCATGGGGCTCCTGTGTCCTTGCCCAAACTCAAAAAAGCCTATGAAAAAGGTACCAGGGGCATCTCATGGGGCCCCCTACTGACCTCGGGCCCTTGGGCAGTGCCCCAGTTTCCAAATGGTCAGTCCGCCCCTGGGAGAGCGTAACATTACCACCACCCATCTCCACTTTATCAATCAGAGAATGCTTTGTATTCATTGAGGAAATGCAAAGCACCCTCTGAATGGTGCCTGTGCTGAGCGACGAACCTGCTGTGTTCGCAGGCCAGCTGCTCGGCGAGGGACCTGGAAGCTGGTGGAGAATTGCTGTACTAGTGGTACCCGCTACAGTGATTTCCAGCATCTAGGGATGCCTCAGGTTTGGTAGATGCAGATTTGGATTGGTTCAAATGCTGCAAGGTGTCACTCAATGACAGAGCTTGGAATTGTTGCAGCTCAGATCCTGGGTTTCTTTTCCCTCCTTTCCTCCATGACATAATATCTTACTCTGTTTGTCTGACTCCTTGTAATACCCTCCATGAGCTCCTGAACCCTTGCACACAGACTATCTATTGTGAATTCTCAGGTGCGTCTGTGTTCCTGAATGTCAGAGTTAGTGTCAGTCTTGAAGATCCTCACTACATAAGAACAACGGTCTGTGCATTTACTCTTCTATGTGTATCTACATACTCCCTACCAGGGGCGGACTGACAACACCCGGGCAATAGGGGATCATGGGGCCCTTGTATCCCTGCCCATACACAAAAAAGCCAATGAAAGGTACCAGGGGCATCTCATGGGGCCCCCTACTGACCCTGGGCCCTCGGGCAGTGCCCTAGTCCTCGAATGGTCAGTCCGCCCCTGCTCCCTACATTTATCCAAGTGAAACGGCCATTGTGTTTTTCTACATCGAACAACAGAAAGTCTATGTGCAATGGTCCTAAGTACTATTTGTTTTACTGCTGTGGTGATTAAGATGCTTTACTTTTGCATGGAATATTGACATTTCATCATTACAACAGATTTTTTTTTCTTTTTACAATAAATTTTATATTTACTGGAGATTAAGACTTTATTTTTCTCCTTGCACTCAAAACTACTATTGGCTGGGGAAATAACAGCAGCTTGTGTTCTTTGGTATACTTCATATGGTTATTTTATTTTTGTAGAATATGCTTTTGTGTTGTGGAAGAAACAATGAAAGCTACTTCATATCTTGTCTTCCATTTACCAAAAATACATATGGCCAAGTCTGCAGCCACACAATTTCACTAAGGGTTGGGGGTGAAGTGTTACTAAACCCAGGACCCTGCATTCACTATGTATGGTCTCCCACAGTACACTCAACATGGAAGTGCAATTATTTTAGTAAATATAAATGGCTAAGTACCTTTTCTCATCAGCTGTTAGAGCAGTCTTGTGACTTCTATCAGCGTCTGGCTGAGCACTGGTAAAAGCTTGATGTTTTCATTCTTCCCTGATTGTCCTGTGAGGCTGCATGACCCCTGACCTTTCTTGACAGCGCTGATTGGCCCTGTGCTGATCACATGCACTCTCCTAAGGAGAAAAAAACTCCCACCAAACTGAGCTTGTGCAGCTTGCCCCCAAGGCTCTGTACTATCAGCAGATGGATGGGGACAGTAGAAGGGGAGGATCAGAGAAGACAAGATCAGACAGCTTTTTTACACAATGCAGACGATTAACCCCTTAGGTTCCACAGTGTGTATAAGAAGCATGCTCTACTGCATATACAGACTGATTGTACTGTTGAGGGTTTAGTAACACTTTAAGAGCTTGCACTACTGTGCTGCGCCTTTACACTCTCTGGCATGCAAATAGCATCAAAGTAGCACTTCATGAACAGAACTGTTATAAGTTCCTAGTACCAAAAAAAATGTCCCATCAAAGTGGCAGCAAAGTCAATACTTTCTTACTGGAGAAAAAGAAAAGCAAAACGCACTCTGAAATCGCAGAATCTACATTGATGTGAACCTAGTGTAAAGGAGCTTCATCTATTTTTGTAAGGAAAGACAAATGACAACTGATTGGCCAGTTTGGACAACTTTTTTGTTTTTTTAACCAGTTTTTTTGTTTTCTTAAATTTTTATAACTGAATCCTGTGCTTTGATCGCAAACAACAAAAATATGGATGGAGAATTTGTCATCTGCACTTTCTTTAGCAAAAATTACTTCATTGTGCTTCTGGAAATGTATACAGACAAAATGGGGATGATTTAGCAAAAGTGGTGCACATAGAATCTGGAGCAGCTGTGCATAGTCACCAATCCGCTTCCAGGTTTTATTGTCAAAGCTTAGTAGAACAAACTGAAGGTAAGCAGGCCATACACGGGTCGAATTCCGAACGAAACATCGTCCGTTCTGTAATCCGTTGGTGCCACCAATGATTTCGAAAAAAGGTAGTTTTTCACGAATTTTCCAACATGCCTGATAAACGAAATGGGGAGCGACCACAAAAATTGGCAGGTGCTATTGCCCCACTAACAGAGCGAAAATCGGCCAATTATTCTTGGGTCCGGTTTTCAAATGGAAAATTGTTCGAAAATTGACCCATCAGCCTTAGAAGCTGATTGGTTACTATGCACAGCTACACCAGTTTTAGTAAATCTCCCCTAGTGTGATAACTAGGGTAATGGGTCTGACTGAAGCTTTCTGCAAAGTTTGTGATCCAAATGTAATGCTGTATAAAATCTGTCTGGTTGATGAATGAACACCTATTGCCTACTTGTTGGTATCTGCCATCTGAACACAAAATCTGTACCGAATGCTGATGAACATGAAGGATGAGGACTAAAATAGGATTCATAAAGCTTTGTAAGCACTAGAATATGATCAATAGTCCACACGCAAAGAAATTCACTTTATGGCCAACAATCTGTAGACTCCATTTTTTTTTTTTTATTTTTTTAAAAGATGCTTGGGTTCAGGCGTTTCCAGTGAAGGGCACTGGTAATTCTACAGCATAAGGCAGGTTCACATCCATACAGGTTGTGGTTGAGGCATTTTCTTTTTTGGCTAATAGGAAAGTATGACAGTTCTGTTCTTGTAGTGTGACTTAAGTGCCAGAGAGTGTAAAGTTGCATCACATGAACAGAACAGTACTTTCCTATTAGCCCAAAAAATAAAAAAAATAGCATTTTTGGTGTAGGTCCATTGAAGTCTATTTCATACAAAATGTAATCTGCTGCTGGAGAAAACAAAAAAGTCCCTGACCCTTTCCAAAAAAATGTATCCGTTTAAAACTCACAGATGTGAACTAGACCCATAGGAAACCACGTTAAATGGGTTGCATTTCTGCAAAACGCTCTAAAACCGCGTAGGTGTGAACCAAGGCTATAAAAAGACTTTTTAGACAATTATGTGCTTCCAATCTTGTGCTTGCAGTTTGGAGAAGGTCCTTTTCTGTTCCAGTAGCACTGTTCCCTTTGTACAAAGTCATCTCCCTAAAGACATGATTGGATGCGTTTGGTGTAGTGATACTTGAGTGTCTTGCACAGAACCCTGGCCTCAACTCTACAGAACATCTCTGGGCTGAATCGGAATGTTTAGTGCCAGCCAAGTCTTCTCATCCGACATCAGTACCTGACCTCCCAAATGCGCTTTGGCCGAATTGGCACAGATTTCCACAAAGTCTTCTCAAAAGCCTTCCCAGGATAGTGGAGATTGCAGAAGTGTGTATTAGGGAAGTGTGAGGGGGTGTAAATAGCCATGGTTTTGAAATGGAATGTCCAAAAGGTTCATAAAGCTGTGGCATCACAAACGTTTTGCCATATAGTGAACATGGGATCGATGAATGGAAGTAGGTTCATCGTGTACACATACAGGATCTGGAGTGTTGCTTTGGAAGAGTGGACTTTCCAAAGCTCAAGGGTCTGGTCCTGCCTGTGGAAGACAGGACTTTACAGGATGAAAGCCTCAGAAGTCTACAATGCTAGTAAATCACCAGCCTGACAGTTAACCTACTGTACGGTATATGTCAACTTAACATTTTACAGTCTTGCTAGAGTAAATATGTAATGGACAATAGTAGGATTGTAGTGCTTTTCTTGGAGAAAATTTCATTCAGTGCTTGCACATGTCTAGGGGCCTAGGCATTTTGGTCATGTGATCTCTTGTCTTAATCAATCTGAACTCTGATGTTCCACAAAGATCTTGTGAGTACCTAGGCCTACAGACATGTGCTCAACACTGATAGAAAACCAATCTTGGATCCTAGCAAGGCTGTTACATTGGATCAGGGGTAGGCAACCTTAAGGAGGTGGAGATCTACCTGAACAACATGGGAGAAGTCAAAGATCACCAGGCACAGTCTCGCCTCCTCACTCCCTATTTAAACCTCTAATTGTCGTACTGCTGTGTCGCAATCGTGTGTATTGCACAGCAATTATGGGTTTAAATCCGGTGTTGAGGAGGTAACCTATTGCCTCCTCAGCACCTGTCAGACACATTCTGATTGCTTTTCAGAGGAACGCAGGATATAATAGAAGTCTATGGCTAAGTGCAGCAAACTCTCAGGAACGCTGTTGGTACACTCTGAATGGGACAGGAGCCAGCACTCCAGAGGAGGCATTGGCTTAGGTGGCTCTTGCTCCTTACTACAGCTCCAACTTTACAAGTAGTGCATTGCACTCTGCTTGATGCTCTGGGATGGTGGGTCAGCAAGCCCAGACTGTGACCTAGCACGGTAGTCACCTGGCCGTGAGCTATGGGTTGCATGTTTACTAGAATAAATACACTAGATTGCCAAATGAATTGGGACACCCCTCCAAATCATTGGATTCAGGTGTATATAATTAAGCACCTAGGCATGCAGACTGCTTCTACAAACATTTGTGAAAGAATGGGTCACTCTCAGGAGCTCAGTGAATTCAAGCGTGGTCCCGTGATAGGTTGTCAACTTTGCAGTAAGTCCATCCGTGACATTTCCTGGCTACTAAATATTCCACGGGCAACTGTTAGTGGGATTATAACAAAATGCAAGCAACTGGGAACAACAGCAACTCAGCCTCAAAGTGGTAGGCCACATAAAATGACAGAACGGGGTCAGTGCATGTTGAAGCGCAGAAGCCGCCAACTGTCTGCAGAGTCGATAGCTTAAGACCTCCAAACTTTCTGTGGCCTTCAGATTAGCACACCAGTGCATAAGAGAGCTTTGAGGAATGGGTTTCCATGGCTGAGCAGCTGCATCCAAGTCTTACATCACAAAGTGCAATGCAAAGCGTTAGATGCAGTGGTGTAAAGCACACCGCCACTGGACTCTAGAGCAGTGGCGACGTGTTCGCTGGAGTGATGAATCACACTTCTCTGGTAATGCGATGGATGTGTCTGGGTTTGGCAGTTGCCAGAACAGTCCTTGCCTCACTGCATTGTGCCAAGTGTAAAGTTTGGTGGAGGGGGGATTATGGTGGGGGTTGTTTTTCAGGGGTTGGGCTTCCAGTGAAGGGAACTCTTAAGGCGTCAGCATACCAAGACATTTTGGACAATTTCATGCTCCCAACTTTGTGGTACAAGTTGGGGATGGCCCTTCCTGTTCCAACATGGCTGCGCACCAGTGCACAAAGCAAGGTCCATAAAGAAATGGATGAGCAAGTTTGGGGTGGAGGAACTTGACTGGCATGCAGAGTTCTGACCTCAACCCGATAGAACACCTTTGGGATGAATTAGAGCAGAGACTGTGAGCCAGGCCTCCTCCCCTGACATCAGTGCCTGACCTCACAAATGCGCTTCTGGAAGAATGGTCAAACCTTCCCATAGACACCCTCCTAAACCTTGTGGACAGCCTTCCCAGAAGAGTTGACATCCCTCTGAAAATATTAGTTGCTGGTCTGGTATGCAGATCCACTGGTTTTAATATTCATAGACAATGCACTGCACTGCAGAAAAGGAAGAATCAAGTCAGAACTGCACACTTGTCCGCAGTCAGGGACACAAAAAGTATTAACATTGGAGCATCAATATGACAGCCAACAGCCATTCCTAGGAACTTTGTAACCCAATGAGCATGAGATTCTGTGGGGTGGTTGGGTTGGGTCAGGGGGGGAGGGTTACACAAGTCCACTGCATGATGGTGAATTGGATGTGTGGCCAAAACAATAGTTTATAGGGGTGGAGTTGATGGTGAGAGGCCTTTAGGGAATTCTAGTTAGGTGTTCCTCAAAACAAACAGCTCTGACTTGGACATACTGTACAATAGCACTGAACTGTGGTAATACATGGGCAATGGGGCAGGCATTGCACAGAAACTTGGCAATATGTTGGGGCAACAGCTGTAGGTAACACTATAGCAACATTGCCAATACGTAGGCAACAAATGGGAAATCTTGATACTGCAAAGGCAACAAACAGGAAGGCATAATATGTGGGCAACACATGGGTAGTCAAGGCAATACATGGCCAACAGGCAATCATTTCAGTACATAGGAAATCATTACAAAATATGAGAAAGAAGTGGGTAATTTAGCCAATATGTGGGCAACAACCAGGTAATGACAGCATACCCTGTCCCATTACCTTTACTCCTGGCACAGTGGATTCATCCATTGTCTACCTCAGGGCTTAAAATTTCAAGTCCTGAGCTACTAGCCAGGCCTTAGAGTTACACGCCACCAACAAACACACACAGAGACACCTGTACACACACGCACAGACATGTACATACACACAGAAACATGTACACGCACAGAGACACATGTACACACACACAGGCACGTACAGACATTCATACACACAGATATATGTACATACACAGAAATACACACGCACAGACACATGTACATACATACATAGACACATACGTACACACACACACATGTACAATTGTACGTGCATACACAGACACACACACACACACGTACACACACACACACACCTCCCCCATACAAAACTTGCAGTACTTCCTTGTTCACGCACAGAGCCGGGTACTGCACTCTAGGGGGAGGCAGAGAGCACAGCACACACTCTTTGCTTTCACTGCACTCAGCTATTGAGCAGTCTGACAGCTCCCAGTGCCAATGACAGATCCGGCCTGAGCTCCGAGCCTGCTCAGCAAGACGGCCCTGGGGGACACACTCGCCCCCACCATAATTTCCACTCGCCATTGGCTAGCAGGCGAGTGGAAATTTCAAGCCCTGGTCTACCTGTTTGTGCACATCCTTTCATTGGACAAAAGGAGAAGCGAGCACAGCCCCCACCTCCAAATTCTCTCCTCCTCTGCATTGCCAGCTTGTTTTGCGGCCACTGTGCAATTGAAATAGTATTGACGCTGACATCACTACAGCAGTCAGCAGCTGAGCTGGAGGGACTTTACAGAGACCTGGCAATTTTATTGATCATCTGGGGTCTCACAGCCAAATACAGCCATGTACACGGTAAGCTCCAGGTTGTGACTTGGAAGTTATACAGAACCAACTCTGTTCCCAGTGGCTAAACTGAGAACAGGGAAAAGTACAAGTTCACTTTAAAAGTTCAGGAAAGCACAGAAAAGAGAGAAGATACCCTTTAAAGCCAATTCTGCTAATATGTAATATTTACATACTACATGAAGCTAACAGGAGTCTATTGCTCATATTGTATCTCAGTATTGTAACTTTGCACTAGAATTACAAGCTTCACCCAGCTGTCATGACAGTCAAGTGATTGTCACCTTTTACTAATAAATTCCCCTTAATACACAGTTGAAATTAAATTGGGAAGCCATCTTCAAGATACTGACACTGTATGTGTTTCTTTGGGGTTGGAGCAAAGAGAAAAACAAGGAAATCTCACCATCGGAGACTTAAGATGCCCATAGACGAGTCAGTTTTTTTTTTTTTTAATTTAACCAGTGGGTTGAACATAAAAAACTGACCTAAATCCACCATTTGCACATTTAAGGTGTATGGGGGAATCCTCGCTGAGCTATTGTATTCTGACATCGTCTGAATACACTGGTCAGGCTATTGATCTAGCAGCTAAAATCTGATAGGGTGGTTGTACAGAAGTCGATCAGTGGATCGAAATTGACCAGTCCTTACTGAACTAGCTGAATTTGGATCAAAACTCAGCCAGTTCAGCAAGGACTGGTCAATTTCGATCCCCTGATCGACTTCTGTACAAGCTTTAAAAAAAAGTAAGAATCAAGGTGGTGAATGGACCCCCCTGGTTGCCACCCAAACTGCATTATTCATTTTGGATGTAGTTGGCCTTTAATGTATGTAATGATATGAGTGGCACTTCCAGACTGAACTTGGTTCTTACAGGAAACGTAAAGAAGTATCACCACCACACAGAAGACACTGGCTAAATTCATAACCGTAATTCACAAATACAAGTAGAATAATCAATTATATTTGTACTTTAGGAAATACGCAAACATAGATCAATAAATTGTTTAGAGTGGAAAGTATTTGCTTTAACCCCCTTTCTAGTTTTTGACTATATAATTTGGAAGTAAAAAAAATAATCTATAATTATTTGGGCCTTTCCCTAGAAATAGTCTTTTTCTGACAATTTCCCACTTGATGCCCCACTATAGGCTGATGTCTAATATACTCATGTAGTGGTCCCCCACCCCCCCCCCCACCACCACCACCACCACTGGAAGAAGGGGTAAATGCTGATTTGGCAAGGTGGTAGGGGGGAGAGAGAAATAAATACAAGCACATCCTTTATTGTTTTGCTCTTCCTGCTGCCAACTCTCTGATGCCCTCAGGATGTGGTAGACCATCACCAGCCACCTGTACAATGCAAGGCTGGCCCGGCATTGTACTGGAATTTGTCAAAGTGCTGCAACTGGCCGGGCACCGAAGTGCCTTTAGGGGGCTAGTTGCAAAGAGAGAAGAAAAACTGTGGGAGTGAGGGATAAAGTTAGTGTATTAATATACTTCTTTCATCCCGTAGCCAAACACTACCCATGCCATGTGGGTAGATTTAACAGCAGCTCAGATTTAGGCTTGCAGTACACATTCACCAGCCACTTTATAAGGTCCACCTCACTAGTGCCAAGAAAATATCCCCACACACCATTACACCACCACCAGCCTGAACCATTGATGCAAGGCAGGATGGATCCATGCTTTCATGTTGTTTATGCCAAATTCTGACCCTACCATCTAAATTTTGCAGTTGAAATCGAATGCCCACTCTCCTTTGACCTCTGACATCAACAAGGCATTTTCATCCACACTACTGCCGCTCACTGGATATTTTCTCTTTTTCGAACCATTCTCTGTACACCCTAGAGATGGTTTGTGTGTGAAAATCCCAGTAGATCAGCAGTTTTTGAATTAATCAGACACCAACAACCATTCCTTGTTCAAAGCACTTAAATCCCCTTTCTTCTCCAATCCGATCGGTTTGAACTTCAGCAAGTCGTCTACATGCCTAAATGCATTGAGTTGCTGCCATGTGATTGGCTGATTAGCAGTTTGTGTTACGAAGCAATTTAACAGGTGTACTTAATAAAGTGGCCGGGGAGTGTAATTAGCCGTAACATATTATAACATATAAACAGAAAAACATTAACGAGCGCTTGGAAATAAATAGTAAGCAGCTGGCATAAAGGTACAAACCCAAACCTTCACCCTATAGATAATAAAAACATATGCAGCGCTAAGAAGGAAATGACTCATAAATCATACGTCTGATAAAATTAAAAATAAGAATAAAAATAAAATAAAAGTGCTTAAAGTGAAAACAACGTCCTCAGGTGATATATCAATCGTCCCAGTAAAAGGTGCAGATGCTGTCGACTCCGAGCTCATAGGTGGGTAAACTTTATGCACTCACCAGAAAGCGCATAATGTGCGCATTTTAGTTGTCAGACCACTCCTGGTTCTAGAAGAATGAGGCAATGTGGGTCATCTAGCAGGCTGTCACTCTGGTAGGGATGCTCCTTCCTCTAACCAGCAGGGGGGCACCAGGCATCCAGCAACAGTTGGCATACAGCTAATCCGGACTCCTCAGACCAGGGCACTCAAAATAGATATCCACCTTGAAAAGGGGGGGCTCGACCATACAGCCCACCCAAAAAAGCACTGCACCTGGTGAAGAGTGGGCACACTTGAAACGGTTGTGCAACTGGTAAACCTCAGTGACAATGTAGACCAAATAGGGGAAAGCTTTGTTCACTTTGGCGTTCTGTCTCTTTCCATTTTCTCCTTCACTGATTGTACCTCAAGTGCGATTTACAAATCCTTGCTCTTCATCATCTCGAGCCATCTCGAGATAATGAAGAGCAAGGATTTGTGAGTCGCACTTGTGGTACAATCAGTGAAGGAGAAAATGGAAAGAGACAGAACGCCAAAGTGAACAAAGCTCTCCCCTATTTGGTCTACATTGTCACTGAGGTTTCAAGTGTGCCCACTCTTCACCAGGTGCAGTGCTTTTTTGGGTGGGCTGTATGGTCGAGCCCCCCCCTTTTCAAGGTGGATATCTATTTTGAGTGCCCTGGTCTGAGGAGTCCGGATTAGCTGTATGCCAACCGTTGCTGGATGCCTGGTGCCCCCCTGCTG